AGTCTGTTTTATTGTCTCACATGTAAATAGAAAAGAGAATGAAGCACCCTTGCCTTGGATGTATTTTTTGAGAATTCTTGATGTTGTCAAATGAACCATATGCTATGCATATAAATTAAGGCTGTTTCTATGATTATTTCTAATACAGATATGCTATAGATGTACAAGTCTTTAGCTTAACCATGTAATCAACTCCTGTTTGTTTAAGAAAAACAAGGCTGTCTTATTAGAGCTTTTTTTAAAAGGTTTCACAGGATCAGTTTATACAGAGCCTAAGCAGCCCTGTTGTCATGCTGGTAATTTACATGTTTCAGGCAATTATTTAATTTAAAATTGCCCAGGAACCCCTCAGCAAAAATACTGGAATGTGTTGTACTTCATTAGATGCTTTTAGCAACATCTTTTCTCTTGCTCCTCTCAAAAGGTCAAGAAAAAAAAAAAGATAAGATGCATCTTCTAACAAGCTGTTGTTGTCTGCTGGGTGAGCTCTGGGGCTGCGTAAACCCTCGTGCATACCAAGGAAGTTTTGCAAAAATATCCTGCTGCTCCTAATTGTGGCAGTGTTGGCAGGAACAGGCTCTGCATTGTGGGACCCTCGCTCGCTGCTCCCGGCGTTTTGATCAACACGGGTGAAATCTGAGCCCAGCAAAAGTCAATGAGAGGTTTGTCTTTGATTGCACAGCAGCCAGGACTGCTCCCCAGTTGTTCCACACACAGGCAGCATCCTAATGAGGAGAGCACACCGATCCCCGTGGCTGGATTTACAAAGGGAAAAGCTCATTCCTTGAGCTGCAAGCTTTTTGAGTACAACAAAAGCTTTTAAAAAGTTGAGTTAATCCACAGTCCTCACATGAGCAACTTAATACTCTGATAAAAGTATCTCAAGTTTTAACAACTGAATTTTGGAATTCCAGGAAGAATTTTTTTCATGGAAAGGGTTGGATTGGGCTGTCGAGGGAGCTGGTGGAGTCACCATCCTTGGAAGTGTTGAAGGAAAGACTGCGTGTGACACTTGGGTGTGGCTGGTCACGAGTTGAGCTCAGTCTTTGAGATCTTTTCCAAACTGATCTGTGAACTCTCCTGAGATCATCTATAACCTGCATTATTGTGTTAATCCTGTGAGCTGGAATGGATGGAGTTGTCCAGTCAAAACATGGCCATTGTGGATTGTTCAGAGCACCCTGGGACACGATGGGCTTTCACACAGGGAAAAGGACAGTTGTGCTCATGTATGGGTTGAGTTTGGGCAGTGCTGCTGTGTTTTAGGCCATTTAGTTGGTTTAATAGTTCAATAAAATATCGTTCAGGGAAATCTTAAAGTTGGCACAGTGTTTGCCAGCCAAAGACTGCAAAGTATAGAGTTCAAGGTGATTTAGAGGGGTTGACTTACTGAACACTAATAACACCAAACTTTTCACTTTACTGTGTTTCTAATGTGTTTTTAGAATTCTGTGGATATGGGTGAAAAGTCTGGAGGAAATCATGGCATGTGAACCACCAACACTGCTGCTGATGTCTCACTGGCACACTTGAGGAGTTTATTAACTGACTATCTTGCTCATATTCTGATTTTTTTTAAACAGCCTGATAGAGGGCATTAGTTTGGACATTCAGTTTGGGAGGGGGAAAAAGCAATATTGTATCAATGACTCTAAATTCATCATTGCTGCTGAAATGCTGTGACTAAGAGTGGTAGTTTGCCACAGGATTTTCTAAATCTTTTGTCATGTTTCCATTTGCTAAATGTTCAGGGGTAGAACAACCAATTATTTAATTTGTTCCAAGAAATTTATTTAAATTAGAACTTGTATCTTGAAACCTCATCAAGGAATAGCTAAGCTTAGGGTTATTTTTGCTGGGGTTTTGGAGGGAGGAGGAGGTAAAGGTAAAGGACATTTGATGTTTAAGAGGATTGTAAAGGAAATGAGTTTGCAGAAGTTGAAGATAGTGCGTGGTTTGAGGAAAGTGGAGGCTTCCTGTATGGCTTTAGGCAGATCACTTGACCATAGTGCCTTGACTTTTCTTACACAGAAAATTGGGCCAGTGAAGAAATATAGATAGTTGGAAGGTCCCACTTCATTGCTGTATTTAAAAATGAATTTTTGGAAGGCAGAAATTACCATCTGAGGGCAAAAGATTTGCAAAAGCAGAAGTGCCTTAGCTCACAACAAGGATATATATGGGACAACACAGCAAGAATTAGGGGTTATAAGTATATTTAGAAATTGGTTGAAATAAAAAAAAAAGGCAGTATTTCCCTGAACTCTTCAAGATGTGATGCAGTCCTGTATTTATCACTATTTAATAGTTCACTATTTAATAATGTTCAACAATGCCCATTTTACATCTCAGTGTTCCATTTGTGCAGAAGAGTTTCTTAAAAAAAAAAAAAAAATCAAAATGCAGCAAAATCTGAACGGGATGCAGTCATACTGCTCAGTGCTTCTTGTATGTACTTCCAGAAGCTTGTACAGCTCATTTTACAGAGAAGGCAAATTTAGAAGTAACAGGGATGGCTTGTTAAAATTACATTATTCAACTACAAAGGTTTAAAAATACACGTCCTGTTATCTGATAGGCTTTTGTTTCCAAGTTCATCCTTCAGCTCCTCTCTGCAATTGTTTCCTGTTAAACGAACCTGGCATGTTGTTTTCCTGAGGTTTATGGGTCATTGACAGTATTGGGTTTCACACAGTCCAGCTGCTCCCAAATCAGCTCCCTTCCTACCCCAGCAAAGTGGGGAGCACACAGATGGGGGCTGGTGGAAGCAAGGAAGGCAACATGAAGACATTGGAGTCATTTTGCCTCCAGCTTCACTGTTAAGGCTTCCATGAATTTCATGCTCATTAGCAAAATGTTGAAAAATGTAGTGTTAAATTACAGTTGTTCCTTGGGACTGTTTTTGTTGCTCCTTGGGACTGTTTTCCTAAACTCTAATGACAAAAGGCTGAAACGAGGAGCCCCTGGCAGAGAAGAGGCAGCATCTGTCACACGCGGAGTTGAAAGGACTCGGGGATCTACAAAGGGAAGTGAAATCAACTTGGAGCCTTTCCCTGCCACCCAGCAGTTTTACAGTGATGTCAGGGGTTTTTTAATGTCACAGTGTGGTGAGGCAGTGTTCGGAGAAGGTCTCTGCTGTCCCAGCAGTGCCAGGCTGTCACTGCTCCCCCCTCCATGGCCCAGTGGCCACACGCGCTCCCTCCTCGGAGGGCAGGAGCAGAGCCAGAGCTGAGCATGGCATGTGCCAGGATGGAAAACATTTCTGCCACTGGGCCTCTCTTGTCTGCTTTAAGAGTTTTCATGTGGACATAAGCACCATCCAGACACATACAGCTGTAGAATGTCCCTGTGCTCAGTTCTAGGTGAGCATCCCTCCTTAGCAGACAGTGTTTGGGACTACAGATAGCATACAGAGCGCCCGGGGTAGCCCTGGTGCTGTTCTGTTCTTGCAGACATGCTGAACATTACTGTGATTTTGAAGGCTAAATGGCATGGTAGAGAATTGCAGTTTTGGGGCTTTTTGCTGTCGTGTCTGATGGAGCCAGAATGGCAGCTCTGAAATGTCCCTTGCTCCCTTGGCACAGGAAAATACCTGTTGCTGTAGTGGGAGATGCAGGGAAACAAGGAGCTGCCAATTGCAAAGTGCTTGCAGGCATATTTTATTTAACTGTGGCATTTTGTAGCAGGTTAATGATCTGGAGTGTGAGCTTTTTTTTAACCCAACAAACCATAGGTATCCTGTTACTTAAGATTTATCTAAAATCTGAATGCACTTGGGCGTGAGAGCACATCAGTTCTAGTGGGATTATCTGGCAATATCTGGCCTTTATTTTTCAAGTTTACTTTGTGACACCATTCCTGTATTTGAGTAAAACCAATTGCCAGTAAATAATACAAAAGAAAGGCCTCTCTCTTCCTGTTTCAGTTTGCTTCATTATTTATTTTACAGGGTGGTGTGTGGAGGGGAATAACCTGTTGTAGCAGTCAGCTGGGTCTGCACTCACATTCCTGTCCAGAGCTGGGTCACTGACTTTAACAATGATCTGGAATGAATTGCTTCTCTGAGGGAAAGCCAGGCATATGGAAGAACAGCTTGCCCAGAGAAGCTGTGGCTGGCTCATCCCTGGAAGTGCCTAAGGCCAGGTTGGACAGGGCTTGGAGCACCCTGGGACAGTGCAAGGTGTCCCTGCCATGGCAGGGGGAGGAACAAAGTGTTCTTTGAGGTCCCTTCCCACCCAAACCATTCTGTGTTTCTACAGAGGGATAAACTCTTCATACAGATTAAATTCTTTGATAAAGAGCATTGTGTAAAGGCTAAGAACTGTTACTTAAACCAACTGCAATTAAGATTCTTGTTCCAAAAAGCACATCAGGAGAGGAGTTCCTTGTTTAGCTGACATCTCAATTTAAAATTTGTGTTGCACCTCATTCTCTGAGCACACACTCACCCCCAGTGTTTGGGAAAGGAGGGATTCTGGACCCATGGCACCAAAAACCTCTTGAGAGGAAGGAGCAGCTGGCTTTGACACACAGCTAGTAACTAGGAAGAAAAGGGTTTTTTTGTTGAGTCTGAATGAAAATCAGGACAAACATCAGTTGTTAGAATGTGCCAATCAAGTGCATCTTGGTAAATTCATGTAGAGAGAAATTTTAATTTAGAGCCAGTGTTCAGTCTGTCACCAAAGAAATACTCATCAGATAAAAGTGCTTCAGATCCCATGATACGGGAAACCAATAATTATGAGATACAGTGAACAATACAAGGTAGAATTGCTAAAGGGATTAATTAGCTTTAGTCGAACTAACCACTATAATTGATGCAAATATCCATCTGCAGCCTGCTGGGACATTAGATAGTCATCACACACCTGCTCAATTCACCAGCCTTGCAGAACACAGCTGTCAGAATGATTTTTGGTTGGGCTTTTTCTTGAGCATACTTGACTGTTTGTTCTTTTGTTGTTGAAAATGTTTTCTTTCTCTTTTCTTTTTCTAAACAGCACTTCCATGATGGCAGAAAGGCACAACAACACATTGAAACTTGCTGGAAACAACTTGAAGCAGTAAGTGGCAAATTCCTCAGATGTGACATTTAAGTAATTTATATATTTTTTTCAAAGAGATGGTTCCAAGTATTTTATTTGGAAAAAGAAAGGTATATGGATAAAAGTTATAGAAATTGGATTTTTAAAACTCTGCTGTCTTAAATACACTCAGTCCTGCAGAAGTGTGTTTTATCAGAACATTTGGTTTGTGTGGGCTCTTTGTCTATCACGGGCAGCATTTCATTTGATATGACTTGAAAAGTGTGCTAAGCATTGCTGAAACTGCAGAGTCCCTAAGGGTCCTGTTCAGATATTCCACTGCAAGTTGAACAGCTTCATAATGTCTGAATAAATTGAACAGAAACATCTCTTGGGTCAGGTGCCGCTTCCCAAAAGTAAATATACATTGGAATTGTCATTCATGTGATGAATGAAAAGTGAGGCTGTAAGTACAGGAGAGGATAGAAAAGAGGTTGTCAATAACCTGAAGCTCTACTTTCAAATTTATAAATCTTATTAACTCTCTCATTCATTTACAAAAAGGAAGGGGTTAAGTGTTGGAGGAGAGTGATTCCATCTACAAGAGTGGAAGTGATGCTAAAAAGGAAAAATACTGAAATGTAAGCAGCCTGGATAATGGAACCAAAAATGTGCCTCTGGTAACTCCATTTTTTGAAGTTCGTTAATATGGAAATGTATTCCAGTGTAAACAAGAGAGCTCTAAAATCCTTCAGTTGTAACAACAGATTGTTTTAGTGGCAGGCATGAATTTTAGGCAGATTTTGGTATCTTTTGCTTCCCATAATGAAGGCATCTGGTTTTTCTTGTCAGAGTAAAAGGCGGTTTGAACGTGATTGCAAAGAAGCTGACCGAGCACAGCAGTATTTTGAGAAAATGGATGCTGACATCAACGTGACAAAAGCAGATGTTGAAAAGGTGAGCTGGAGGGTGGAGACTGTTTGTAAACATGGATGTGATAGGTTTATTTTCTCAATCCTCCTGGTAGGATAAACCCTCTGAGGCTTAATGCCTTACTTGAGTCAGTCTGCTGGTTAATTAAAACCTGGGAGATCTCTGCAGACACCTTTATTTATACAAAAACTCTAAACAGATACAGTCAGGTTTTTTTAGTGGGTGGTATGTGAGTTTAACAGAGCTGATCTGGCTCTAAAGGAGTTTATGCAAGCTCAGTTTTGACTAACACCCAGGTTCTGTGTCAGCCAGCCTTGTGAGGGCCCCCTGAGGGCTGCTTGCAGTTTCCACACATTTTCATTCCCTCTGTGATCCAGGTAGAACCAAACTTCCTGCCTGTGGAGCAGCACTTCAAAGATTTCCCAATGTCATTGGATGCAAGGAAGTATTACCAGAATTGTTTTTCATAGTTGTAGGTTTAGAGCAGGACAGCTTTCCATGTGATGCAGGATCCTGGAATCCATGCTTGTCACAGATGGCACAAGGCTTTTATTTTCATTTCTCACTTGCTGGCTGGTTGCAGAATCATTTGTGGCTTTTTTACAATGATCCTCACTCAGTGAAGCTTTTGAACTAATTCTTAATTTTAAACATCCAGTTCTGTTTCAGCACATCTGTCTGGAAATACTTTTCTGTTTTTAGTTTGATTCAAAATTGGATATGTGGAAGGATGCTTAAAGTTTAGATTGTACTGGTCCAAGTCCAATACCTCTAACTTAAGGAAGCAATGAAGAGGAAGAAAATGTTTTAAATAGCCTCTGTTTTTGGAGTTACACATTTGCTCAGAAGATGCTCTAATGTAGATCAGAAACACCACATTACAATGTGTAAGGACAGCTTTGTCTTCCTTGAGTTTGAGTCAGACAGGCACAAAATAGCCAGAACATTTTTTTTGAAGGAAAAAAATAAAAAGAAAAGGCAACCAAAAGAGAAAGGAAAAAGTAAAAGTTGAGGCTTAAAATATGCCAAATGTTTTGTTTCAGGGACAGGAAAGGAAAGTGAATTATAGGTAAGAAATCTTTCTAGTCTGAGGTCTCCTTGTAAAATGTAGGTTTTGCTTCTCAAGAGGTCTGCTTCATTCTATTCTAAGTTCCTTCAGTCGTGTGAAGATATGAAATATAAATTTCCCTTTACATCTGTGGGATCTCATGTTTCTGGTGTGCTGAGCATCAGGACATTGTGTGGCACAGAGCATCAAGGATGCTCTTGGAAATGAGGACAGTAAATCATAAACAAGCTCAGAAAATTTCCCCCAAGTGCTATTGCATATCAAAGGACAAAATAGCTCTGTGGTCTTGTAATTTGCTTGGCTCTTAGTTGCAAATTCACCATGTAGATTTGATCCTTTGTTGCCTCCTGGATTTGCCAGGGCCCTTGACAGATGAATGCATGTACAGATCGTTAAAGATGTAGCACCACATGTGGGTTTTTCTAACAGAGAGGGATCATCTCTGCTTTATCTGTATAAAGTGATTTTAGAATACTTCTTTTATAGATAAAATTAGGGCTTGCCCTAGATTTTTTCCCAAAGCTGAGGTCATGTCAAAGGGATACAAAGACATGACTTACTGTTTGAAATAGGGGAATGAAACTCTTTATTTCTACATCCCTTTCCAAGGCTGCCCTTTTCTGGTCAGAGTAAAAGGTGGCATATTGGTGATATATCAATCTAAGAGTGTTAGGTAAATTCTGGGAAGCAATTTCCTACCCTGGTGCTTTTTCCCTGTCAAGTGAAGCAGAGAGGCCTCCCTTTTAAATTCCTCTAGCTTTTTATTGTGTGAATTTGTAAATTATTTATTGCAAAATGAGGCTCAGTGGTGTCTTGAAAGAAAAATCTGTTATGCATGTTGGCAGCTCTCAGGAGAAGGCATTACTCCACTTTCCAGGCAGTCAACAGAGTAGATGGGAGAAGGAAAAGGTTATCAAAATGAGTGGAATGTGAAATAATATTACTGAACAGAGAGAACAGTGTTTTCCAAGTGCATGTGTTAAACTGGGTTCATCCATGTCAGGCTGTGAATAATGCCCTTTCTTTGCTCCCCTCTGCCCGTGTGACTGGGAGGCTCTTGCATAACTCCCAGTGCAGAATGGGATATTGTTCCCAGCTCTGCTGCTCTCCCCAGCTTGCTTCAGGAGGATGCAGGAGCTGGGATATTGTTCCCAGCCCTGCTGCTCTCCCTGACTCGCTCCAGGGGGATGCAGGAGCTGCTCAGCTCCAAATGAAGCAATAGGATGACTTCAACCTCCTCCTTCTACTGCAACACTTCTGATTCTCTTGATTTCTCTTCCCTTATGGCTTGGCTGCTGCACTCCTACCCCACAAGCTCCCAGAAATCAACCTGGCCAGGAGAATGGGCAGTTTGGCTGTGTCAGAGCTCTTCTCTTTGGCAGAACAAGGTGCTCCTCAGGCAGTGGGGCTGCTTGCCCTCATTTCTTTGGCTAGAGATTGACACCTTGCCTGCTTCAGCTTGTAGCTGCCAATGTGAGCAGACACAGGAGCTATTTTTTGCATCACACATGATAGAGTGGATGGCATTAATGAAATTAAAATTCTGCGGTGATCACAATGACATATACAGTCAGAAGAGAATACAGCTGCAATTTCCTAATGCTAAGCTGTGTGAGGTTCTGAAATGCTCACGTCTCTTTATCTTTCAAGTCTTTGTAGCCTTTGACAACTGCAGCAGGAAATTCTGTGCCAGAGCTGCCATCTACCAGCACTTATCCTTTGCCCAAAGTACTACAATTTGGAAGCATTAAGTAACCAGAAAAGTGGCAGAGAAGCAGAATAAGAGTCACTTTCCTCCTTATTTCTCCAGGACTGCTTGGCAAAGGGCCTAAAGGCAGGGCTGGATGTGGAGCCTGGACATCAGGTACCCAGGTCCACATTCCTTCCGTAGGACCAGGTATGTGGAGGGCACATCCCTTCTCTGCCCCTTCTGTGGCCAGCAAGGGTTCCATCACCTTGCCAGGCAGCAGCCTGGTAGCTGATCTTGGAGGGAGGAGTGTTTGGCTTTGTTTCCTCTCAGCTCCTTTTTTGGCAGTAGGGACATGGAGCAAAAGCTGTGCTCAGTCTCTGCAATGATCACAGTGTGCAGGAAAAAAGGGAGAGTGGAGCAGGACACCTGAGCTCCCTTCCCTGTTTGCACTGAGCCTCTAAGACCCCAGCAGCCAAAGCTTGCAGAGATGTTTGTGTCACTACAAAATGCAGTGCAGCAAAGTCAGGGCAGGAAGCTCACAGTCTGTGAAAATATCCTTATAAACTAAATAAATGCTGCAACATGCTGATGCTGCTTCCAGGAAGACTTGTAGGTATCACTGAAAGCTTTATTTCATTTGGATCACAGTGGGTTGTGTGCTTTAAAGCACTTCTCTTTCAAAAACCACAGAGGAGCTGCTTCAATTTTTTGACCATTTGGGGAAATGGTCTCTGTCGCCAGCACGGAGCCACTGTACATATAAGGCAGAGCTCTATTGTTTCTGCCCTCTCTTCAGAGCTGCAATCACTAAAAAGCTGACATCTTTATGGGATAATGTGGTACCCAGTGGTGCCTTTGCAGACTTCTTGTAATAAAATTAAAAAATCAGCCGGCTTTTCTAGGGTTTCTTTTCCAGGGAGGTATTTCAGAGTCTGATTTTCAAGAGGAACTGGCTGAGGCCAAGCATGGGAAGGGTTTGCCTCTTGATTTGCTCAGCAGTTGTGGTGAGGAGAGTGGTTTGAAGTACTTGGTGTCAGACAGGATCTGTCCCTTGGCTGAAGAGAAACATGGTCAAATGTTGACCTTAGGCAATAATCTGAGAGACTTAGGAATTTTAGGTGTATTTGCCTTTGGTTTTAAAGTGGAGAAACTGAGGGAAGTAGGCTTGATCTTCAGTTTACTGAAATCTCTCAGAGCTTTCCCTGTGCTCTGCAAATTTCAGATTGTGTCTGCAATATCCAAGATGTTTTGGAGACCCAGAATAGCTGCAGATTTGCATAAAGCCTTAAAATAGAATATCACCATGATAGTAGTTTTCTACTCTGTAAATATAACTGTGGGGAGATACTGAGCTTTCATGTTTGAGGTTTCATTTTCTCTTTTCTCATGCCACATTACCTGGGTGCTGAATTTCTGCACAAAGCACAGAGTCTGTCCCCCTCCTTACCCACAGGAGACACACTTAGCATGGCTTGGGGTAGCTGAACCATGAGCAAAGTCTGACAGAATGTAGGTGTAGAAATCCTGCTAATTGGAACCTGGGATTAGCTGATCTTCCTTGTGCTCAGCAATGCTCTCAGGTGGGAACTGCATTTCCAGCCTCTGGACTGCCGTGCTGTGGGACACAAACCCCTCCACTGGGAGCTTACACATCCTTACAGTGAGGGGTGTAAGAAGCTATTTTGGGCTCTGGAGACATCTCAGGTGGGTATTTCAGCAGTCAGGTGACAGTGAAGCCAGATGCAGTCACTGACACCCCCCAGACTAACCTGGAGGAACGCCAGCTCAGGGCTCTGCTGTTGCCACATCCCCCTGAGGTTTATTCAGCAAAGTCTGTCAGCAATGAACTTCACCCTAATCCCAGCTTGTGGGTATCTCCTTCTGCAGACTGTAACTACTTAATAGGCCTAATTTTTCAGGAGATGCTAAGTCATCTGCTCTGTGATGGTGGGACTTGTATCCCTTCCCTCTCCTGTCCACATCAAGGCACCCACTGGCACCAGCAGTGTACCAGCACTGTAGGAAATGCAGTGCCATGCAAAGGTGGTTTTGCAAGGTGAAGAACACTTACAGTGCTTGTGTTATTAATCCTGCACTGAGTGGTCCCTGAGGCTTTGCTTTTCCCATTCTCTGCTGTGAACCTGTAGAGATACAGCAGCAGCATCAAGGTGAAATATGCAGGTGAGGTGTGCCAGGCCTAGTCAGGAGGGTCTGGCCTGTGCATTTCTTGTTGGAGAGTTTGACACTGCAGCAGATTTTCACTGT